CCAAAGTATGAAGCCAATCCCAGAACATTGACTTTTTGGGCTGGGGCGATTGAAAAAGAATCTCTCATATATATCCTTATAGGAAGAATCTAGAATAATTTATTTGCAGAATTTCTATATGATTGTGATGACAGCGTACATCTGCTAGCTTTCTAACAAAAGTAGAGTACCCTAATCAAATTTGATTACTGAAAATAGAATAGTCGAAAGGTATGTGTAGAAAATGGGTTTTCATCGATTTCTAAAATACGTTTACCATTCAGATAGACTGGGATCATTATACTGCAAAGTCACTAAGGCTTTCAATTTCCTTCATGCCATCTTACCCCTCTGGCTTGCTATTTATCTTTTTATTTATTTTGCGATTAAGTTTATCGCCTCTTTCATGTAGATATTACTGATCTTCCATTTCGATAAACAATATTCCATATCTTTTGATACATATACAATATATCAAATTATATTTGCAATAGTTAAATATTTTTCGAATATTGATTCTATCATTTTTTTAAAAGAAGATCTCCTCTCACTACCCCTTATTACAAAATCTATTTGTACTTTTTTTTATTCATTTTATTCAATCTTAATAAATGTTCCTTTATAAGTTCCGTTCAATATACAAGTCATTACTAAATTGGATAGAATTTTCATAAAACCCATTTTAAAAGAAGTATTATAAAAGATGAGGATAAACAAAAAAAAAAAAAATTGTTCAGAGATAAAAATAAAAAAAAAAGTAACGGTATAATTTATTTGCAGAGGATTCAAGTTTGGAATTGATAATTCCCTTCAAACTGAATGAAATGGAATGCTAATTTGGAGATTTCAATGAAATGAATCTACTACTACGTCTTCCTTATAAATTAGTTTTGAATACTTAAAGAAGCTGTGTCATTACTTACTTATTGAATTATTTTATTATTTTGCTGCAATAAAGTTTCTTTGAATGCACTTACCTGAAACATGAAAATAAATTGAACAGATAAATATAAGCTACTTAAGCATACACATATACATATATATATATATTTTTTTTTAATATAAAGAGCAGATAATGATATAATACTAATTGGTTTAAAACTTTCTCTCCACTATTGAAGATGGATAGTTACAATGAAATGGATAATAAAAAAAGAAAATTACAGAGTTCATTTAAAAAAAAAAATACAATCACTATTTGAACACACAAAACGCATTTCAGTTTAAAGACGGAAATCCTATTGTATATATTATACTATTGTCGACAGCATATTGTAGAGTAAAAGTTCAACTTTTATAACAATCCATTAAATTCTCAATTTTCTCTCTGCTCTTCTATTTTATTATCTCCAAAAAAATTTTTTTCAACCAATCAGTGAATTTCACAAAAAAAAAACGTTTTAAATTTTAAACAATAAGTCTAGAGAATACAATTGTTATAAAAAGTTGCATCAAAATATAGTTACTTTTTTTTTATTCACTATTTTTTTTATATAGTACATGTTATATAAAATGCTATTTTCAAAATTTCGCAACCTGCAATGCATAAAAGAATAAAAGAAAGAAAAGATTAAAAAAAAAATTAAAAGAATTACAATTTTTTTTTAAAAAAAAGGTAAATAATGTAGTAGAAAATATTATCTTTAATTTTTGTAAAATATTAATTTTCCTCTATATTATATTAAATTTTAAAAATAAAATGTAAATGGTAACAAAATGTAGTTACTTTGATCAACTTTTTGTGTAACCTCGTTTCGTTCATTTGAAAAAATATATATAGGAGAATTTTTTTTTTTCAACGTGGTCTTTGTGTAACACGAAAAGCAACGATTTGGAAACAAGTGAAAAAGTTAATTTGGCCAATTCGCTACCAACTTTTCGCTTCATTAAGCAAAACCATTTTTCCTAGTGTAAAAATTACCGTCAATTCATTTTCAACAGGACACTGCATGGAGTACCAGAACATAATTGCATTATCGGCAAACCCTCATTCTCTCTCCCTCTCTGGGTACAGGGAAACGTTCAGAGTCTATAATTTTCCTTTTCCCTTGCACATGTTCTCTCTTTTCTCTAGCTTGTCTCTTTATTTTTCAAACATAAAATACACTGATTGTGGATCACTTTTTTTTTTGTTTCAATGATATATGTATGCGATCATTGTATTATACATTTGTAACATAAACAAAATGCAATCTACGAGAATATCAAAAAAAAAATGTGTTCAAATAATAAAAATAATATAAATATGAATACAGTGTGATTTAGTATCTTTGCAAAACTGTCGTAAAATAAGCTAGATATGTCTAAATCACAGCCACCTATATATAATTAACTATTTTGATCAATGGAGTAAATTTTTTAAAAATACCGAAGACCATTAAAATTCGTGATCAATTCAAACTTTTCTGTTCGAAAAACCAACTTTTTAAATAATTCACGATAAATCAATTGAAAAATATTAATTACCTCCATTAAAAAATTTAATTATAGAAAACATAAATTTTTATTTATAAAATTCTGAATATTTTTTGTAGATTTTTTTTCAGTTATAAGAAAAAATAAATATTGGATATTGAAATATATATATATATATTTAAAAATTGATAAAATTTGTCAAATGTAAATTTTAGTACGTATATTTTATGTATAAGTTTAGGACAACATTTGTCTTATCTAAAATAGGGTTCGCTATGTAAGCTATCCATTTTACATGCTGTTATCTAAGCCAGCGATTTGAAACGCGCGAATTCGAAAACAGCAGCTGAGTCTTTGGCTAAACTGATAACAACCGACGTATTTACTAAATTAGAATACGACTTTCTTGTTAAAATTTTAACGAATAATTAAATATGTAAATTAGATGAAATTATTCTATGCGTAGAATTGTGTGGTATATTATTATTAATGGAAACTGTATATAGAATAGATCAATTGATATGCAAAACTCGTTAAAGCAGTTAATTAATTAAAATCTCTTGTTTTTCTGTTTTAATTTTTACCCAAAATCATTCGAAAATGTTTCTAAAAATATTTAAAAAAAATTATTAAATTACGAAATGCATATAATCTTCAGCAAAATATCTTATGTTTAAAATACAAAAATCAACTATAAAGTTAAACACATTGATGATTTTTCTCAAAATTAACATTAATTTATAAATCTACTTAAAAATCTACTATTATATTAAGTTTACAAATTTCGAAAAACGACACCGACCCCGTGACCTCGACACCGTCCTTGAAAAATCTATTTTCAATTATTTTCAAATAAATCAAAATACTTTGCATATATGCTTGTAGAAAATCTTACAAACTATTTTTATGTAACATCTTTTTTCAATTTTAACCCGAAAAAGGGTTATTTTTCAATTTTAACCCGAAAAAGGGTTATTTTGCAATTTTATCCCGAAAAAGGGTTATTTTGCAATTTTTTAAGAATTTTTTGATTTTTTCAATTTTTTATTATTATTTTTTATTATTTATTGTTGTTTTTTCAATTTTTAGTTAGTAACCTATAATATTGTGTCTAATTTTAAGTGTCATTAAAATCAAATGTTTTTAACTTAATAATTTTAATATTTCTTAATTTAAAACGAAACATCTTCTATTATATTAAGTTAACAAATTTCGAAAAACGACACCGACCCCGTGACCTCGACACCGTCCTTGAAAAATCTATTTTCAATTATTTTCAAATAAATCAAAATACTTTGCATATATGCTTCTAGAAAATCTTACAAACTATTTTTATGTAACATCTTTTTTCAATTTTAAGATAAATTTTATACAATATTAATAAGATATTAATTTAAAACATAAATTATATATATAATATACATAAACTACAATAAGTAAACAACAATAAGTACAATTTTAACCGAGCGAGCGTTAGCGAGCTAGGAATACATCGCTAGTTAATATAAATTTAAAGTTGAGTTATTAATTTCTTGAATGAAATTTACAAATTTGCGCAACAAAAGAAATTAAAGTTTTTAAGTGTGAAATAATTTTCTTAACTCGAACCAATTTTCAAAATGAAACATGATAAATGAATTTTATTAATATTTGAAGGATCACTCAACGATTAAACATTCAATTAAAGATGCAACGGAATATTGAACGACTACTATTTGTACCAGGATTTATATGTCTTAACAAAAATTGTATATTACTGTGGATGTGTCGGTCAAACATCACGTATCTTTGACAAAAGTCCAAAAAGCACGTATCGTTTGTAAAAGAGTAAATGTCACGTACGACTTTGTTAGGGCGACATGCACGAAAAATTGACTTTATTTTGAATTTTATAAATTACGATAATCTTGATTTTAATTCAAATGTCAAACGCGTAAATGTCTTGATAATTAATTTGATAATTATCAGTAGTTATGACGTATAAGGTGAAGTCAAAGATAACACCAGGATTTTAAAAGTAAAAAACAATATATTTTCTAGACTACAGTGCTTGACGGTGGTGAACAGACAACTGGTCTTACAATTATACCTGTTTAAGTCTGAAAGTGACAATTGGTAAACTCAGTATTTACGAAAATACACGAAGTTAGACGGAAAATGTCGATTATCTTCAATTCTTAATTTCGACCTGAAGGGTCCTAGTGTACAGGGTTTGTTACCTGCGTTGATAATTACAAGAGTTTAGTCTCCAGATCGTTTATTACCTTTTTGAATGACTATGTTTTTCAGACAAAATTTACAATAAGGATTATAGCAATTTGAAAACTTATAAATTCTAATAAAAGTATTAAGTTGTACGTGACAAATCTTAAATTCAGAATATTATAAACTAAAATTCAAAATATAGAAAATATTGTAAAGTTTTGAGGATTATCTTAAATTACTTTACAAATATATTTTAATGCGCCTAAACATTCTCCCCCCGTTGAGAGGTAGTGCGAACAACAATTTTTATTTTATTTTTTATGAGAGATAGAATTTTCAATTATTGGCAAAGGAGAAAGTCTTTTAATATTTCTTTTAAATAGACTATTCGATGTTTTTACAGTAACAACTCTAATTATTCCGTCTTCTCCAGGATGAGTCTCAGTAACTCGTCCCAAGGCCCATTGCATCGGTGGTAAATTATCTTCCTTGATGACCACTACTGTTCCTTCCTTGATTTGGTGATTACCATCCGCCCATTTGACACGAGTATTTAGGTTATTTAAATACTCTTTTGACCATCGACCCCAAAAGTGTTGTCGAAGCTTTTGGAGGTGTTGCCAGGTGGATAGCTTATTTGTGGGCGTGTCCTGGAAATCTTCTTCTGGAAGACTTGTTAATGCATCGCCGATCAGGAAATGACCAGGTGTGAGGACTAGGAGGTCGTTAGGATCTGAGGAAATAGGAGTGAGTGGGCGGGAATTAAGCACAGCTTCTATTTCAATAACTAATGTATTAATTTCTTCAAATGTAAGCAACTGATCTGTGATTACACGTTTTAAATGATGCTTGAAACTCTTGACCGCTGATTCCCATATTCCCCCAAAGTGCGGAGAAAGAGGAGGAATAAAATGCCATTTGATTTTTCGCTTGTTGGCAAAATTAACGCATTGGATTTTATGATTTTCGGAATTTAAAAGAGCAAAAAGATCTTTCAATTCGTTATTTGCTCCGATAAAGTTTTTTCCATTATCGGAATAAATATTAGAAGGTTTTCCCCTTCGTGCAACAAAACGTTTTAAAGCACCGAGAAAACCTTCTGTCGTCAAATCACTCACAACTTCAAGATGTATCGCTTTCACGACAAGACAAACAAAGACCGCGACATACACTTTTATCCGACCACGATTTCTAAATTTTTTCTCTTTAATATAAAAGTGACCGCAATAATCGACTCCGACGTTTTGAAATGGTCGAGCTTTTGTTAGCCTCACGCTGGGTAAATTACCCATTTTGTATTCAGTTATATTCGGATTTGCTCGGAAACATCTTACGCAAGTACGTATAATCTTGCGTACCTGATTACGTCCATCAGGTATCCAAAACTTTCGACGCAATGCGTAAAGAGTTGATTGACAACCAGAATGGAAATTATTTAAATGTAGTTTGTTGACAATCAAGGTTGTAATGTGATGTGATCGAGGAAGTAGAATTGGCTGCTTTTGATATGAAGGTAATGAGGAATTGTTTAGTCTTCCTCCAACGCGTAAAATACCCTCATTATCTATAAAAGGATTCAGTAATAACAATTTACTTTTTTTATTGACATCATTTCCTTGTTTTAAGTTAATGATATCTTTGCTAAATTCTCGAGATTGAATTAATTTTATGATTGTTTTTTCAGCAGCGGCCAATTCTTCTACCTTAAGAAGACCTTTGTATAGTTTTTGATGTTTAAATCGTAAACAATATGCAACTATACGAATGAGTTTATCGTATGAAGAAAATGATTGCAAAAAATTCGAATCAAGCCGTGTAATTGTTAAGCAAGTGGCTTTTTTCCGTTCTGGGATTTCGCCTAATTGATTGGGCTGTAAGATGGGCCAATGAGATTCATTTAAGATGAGCCACGATGGGCCATTAATCCATTGAGAATTATTTAAAAAATCGCGAGGCAGTTGACCTCGAGATAACGCATCTGCTGGATTGTCGTTTGATCGGATGTGTCGCCATTGATTAGAGTTTGACACTCTGTGTATGTCAGCGACGCGATTGGCAACAAACGTTTTTAGTAAATGTGGGGAGGTTTGAATCCAGCTTAAAGCAATAGTAGAGTCCGTCCAGAAAACAGTTTTTTCAAAATCAACTTTTATTATTGAAGTGACTTGCCTTGCTAAACGTGCTAAAAGTAGAGCACCACATAATTCGAGACGTGGTAACGACACGGTCTTTATCGGTGCGACCTTTGATTTCGCATAAAATAGTTTTGCGATTGTTCTATTGGAAGAATCTGTCGAACGAATATATATGCAAGCCCCATAACCGGCTTCACTTGCATCGCAAAACCCATGCATTTGAACGTTGGTTGCATCATCCAATATTATTTTTCTATCAAAGGACAGATTGTTGACCAACAAGAGCTGATCACAAAATTCTGACCATGATGTAAATATACTGGAAGTGACAGATTCATCCCACTCTAATTTCGATTGCCAAATTTTTTGTATTATTATTTTTGCATACAGAACAATGGGTCCTACAAGTCCTAATGGGTCAAAAAATTTTGCAATTTCAGATAAGATCGTACGTTTTGTCTTGACAACAGATAGATTTATCGGATGTGCAGTGAAAGTAATGGAATCTTTCTTTGCGTTCCAAAATACACCTAATGTTTTAACAGGTTGATCTTTATCTAATTGAAAATTTGGAATTATGCTACTTTCTGGCAAACCGTGTAATATTCGTGGATCGTTTGAACCCCATTGCCGTAAATTAAAACCTGCGAGTTTAAGTAGAGTAATCATTTCTTCTCTAATTTTTATTGCCCCTTCAATCGTATCGGATCCCGAGAGAAGATTGTCAACGTAAACATCATTTTTTAATATGTTTGCTGTTGTGGGAAATCTTTCGCCTTCGTCTTCAGCGAGTTGCTGCAGACAACGTATAGCGAGAAACGGAGCACATGCGAGTCCAAAAGTAACCGTATTTAATTCGTAAGTATCTACGCTGTTTTCCGTTCCCCAGAGTAACCTCTGGTACTTTCGATCCTCTTTGCGTACGAGAATTTGTCGGTACATTTTCTCTACGTCAGCAGTGATAACATATTTATGAATTCGAAATTTCAAAAGTAAAGAAATAATATCCTGCTGAATCGTAGGGCCGACCATAAGCTCGTCATTCAAGGACAGACCATTGTTGGTTTTAGCCGACGCATCAAAGACTACCCGTAATTTGGTAGATAAACTAGTTTCTTTAATTACTGCCAGGTGTGGCAAGTAGAAACCATCAGTTTTGTCTACCTCATTAACTTTCGTCATGTGATTTAACGAGATGTATTCGTCGATCACTTCCGTATATTGAGTTTTTAGATCAGGGTTTTTATGGAATTTGAATAATAGAGATTTAAAACGTTTAAGAGCTTTTTGATAGGATTCTCCTACATTTACCTCGGCCTTTTTAAATGGCAGTGCCACAACGTATTTTCCGGATTGGTCGCGACTGACGTGTTCCTGAAAGTGTTTTTCGCATTCTAATTCTTCCGCAGAAAAGTGTCGAGAGACTTGTCCTTCTTCTATTTCCCAGAATCGAACGAGACTTTCGCGTAATTCTATTAAATGACAATCAAGTTTAAGCTTTTTTGATTTAGTTTTTAGCAATTTTAGATTACTATTAGGTGTTCCGCCTATGATCCAACCTACACGTGTTTTTTGAATACAAAGGTCTTCTCCGTTTTTTGAAAGATCATTTTGTCCGACACAAAGCATTGATAAAGTGGGACCAGAACCTAATAATAAATCGATTGCTGCAGGTTTATTAAAATTTGGATCGGCCAGAGGCAGATTTGATGGGATATTGAATAACTCTCGTTTAAGAAATTCATTAGGTACAGATCTAGAAATTTCTGGTACACTTAAACAAGTGATAGTTTTTTCGAACGCATTATATCTTGAACGTATGGTTAATTTAACGATGTGCTTAGTTACCGTTGATAAATCGTTTAATGCTCCTATAGGTATAGAACATTTTTGTTTAGGTAAATTGAGTTTATCTAAAAAGTTTTCAGTTATGAAATTTGCGGTAGCACAAGTATCGAGCAATGCTCGACCAATCTTTAATTGTTTGTTTCTGTCATAAACGTTAATTACCGCACTAGTGATTAGTTGACTAGTCGGCACATTAATTGTAGTTGCAAAACTAAAATGTTCCATACCCGTAGGATTTAGCTGTCAACTTCCTTGCGTTTTTGAATCGTGAAGTAACGTATTGTGAGGTTCCGAGCAAATCAGACAATTGGAAAAGTTACAAGGTTTATCCCCGTGACTTCTTAAGCAATTCAAGCAAAGAGTTGCTTCTTTGGCTGCTTGGATTCGCTTAGGAACACTTAACGCTCGAAATTTGTTACATTTATATACAGGATGTCCTGCTTCACGGCAAATTGAACAAGTTTTTTCGGTTTTCGAAACGAAAGCTTGTCTTGTCGCGTCTGGCGACTTATTTTTAGTATTTTTATTGTTTAACGGTTTACCGGAGTTAGAAGGTTGAGTTGATTTTTGAGTATTGTTATCTCTTTCGCGTTTAGAGACTCTAGAAGCAACTTTATATAAAAACTCTATCATTTCGTCTAATTTTGGAAAAGTATCGCGTGTCAGAGTTTCCTCCCATTTCTCCGCTGTGATTTTAAATAATTTTTCTTCTAAAATTTGAATAACAATCTCTTCGCTGATTTTAATATCCAGTGTTTTTAAGGACTCTAAATGCTGTTGCGTTTCGTCTGCTAAACGTCTCAGCCCTTCCGCGGTTTCTCTTTCTTGTTTAGGAAGCCGAAGAAGGAGGCTGAGATGTCTGGAAATAATTAAACGTTTATCTGCGTATGCACTCTTTAACAAGTTCCACGCGCGGTCATAATTACCATCAGTTATAGCCAATGTCTTAATTTTATTCGCGGCTTCGTCGACTACTGCCGATTTTAAATATTGGAGTTTTTCAACGTTGCTTAAATCTTCCTGGTCATGAATCATAGATGTAAAGGCATCTTTGAAAGATAACCAGTCTTCATATTTTCCGCTAAATTTAGGAAGTGAAGCTTCTGGTAATTTGACACGTCGTTTCATTGTTCGTGAGGCAGAATTTGATGCTGTATTCGCATCTTGGGAACCTGAAATATTCGCGATACCACTTTGAGTATTTGGTTGTGCAACAGCTTTTAGTTCCTCAAATTCTGTTAAAATATTGATATAATCTTCTTCGATTTCAAATCTCTGTACGTCATGACTGCTAGCTTCGTCAAGAGTTTCAAGATCATCCGAAACCTGATCAAAATTTTCAAAACTAGCTTTGAACTTTTCTAAACGAACGTTTAATTTAATTAAGCTTGTCGGAAGCTTTTTATACTCTTCGAGAAATTTCTTATAATTAGTAATTTGTGCTTTGTGAGTTGAGCGTTTTCTAATCAGGGATTTAACTTTGTCTTGGATTTCTGCCATTATGAAATGAGGATTAATGGATTAGATTCAGAGGAAAGTTTTGGATAAAGCGATAACAAGCCTACCTTTTGTAGAAATCCTTGTGCGTTGGTGGCAGCCCTTGGCAGTTGGTAGAGATCCTCTCCAGGTTGAACTAGATTGTGTTGATCTTCGGTTGTTGATAATTTTTTAGAAAACAGCTCCACAATTGATTGTGTTCAGTGTCTTTTAACTTGCACTCACACTTTTAACTGCGTATAAGTACCGAAATTACACTGTTCGTATATAAGAGTCAAAAGTTCCAATGTTTTGTTATACACCACAAACATGATTTGAGATGTTAACTAATTAAATGTTAAAATGTTCAGTGATTGGACTTTGTAATCCTTTTTCGATTATTAAAGGAGTATAATTTAGACACAATCACTGTTAAGTATCACCACGAAATTCTATTTTTTCGTTTTATAAAACAGTTGATTCGGGTTACGATTAAACGTCTAAGTTGTCTTTAAGTATGAAATGACACACACTTATCACCACTTCGCGGTCGCGTAGTTAGAGAATCCGGCTCGAAGGACCATTTGTTAGGGCGACATGCACGAAAAATTGACTTTATTTTGAATTTTATAAATTACGATAATCTTGATTTTAATTCAAATGTCAAACGCGTAAATGTCTTGATAATTAATTTGATAATTATCAGTAGTTATGACGTATAAGGTGAAGTCAAAGATAACACCAGGATTTTAAAAGTAAAAAACAATATATTTTCTAGACTACAGTGCTTGACGGTGGTGAACAGACAACTGGTCTTACAATTATACCTGTTTAAGTCTGAAAGTGACAATTGGTAAACTCAGTATTTACGAAAATACACGAAGTTAGACGGAAAATGTCGATTATCTTCAATTCTTAATTTCGACCTGAAGGGTCCTAGTGTACAGGGTTTGTTACCTGCGTTGATAATTACAAGAGTTTAGTCTCCAGATCGTTTATTACCTTTTTGAATGACTATGTTTTTCAGACAAAATTTACAATAAGGATTATAGCAATTTGAAAACTTATAAATTCTAATAAAAGTATTAAGTTGTACGTGACAAATCTTAAATTCAGAATATTATAAACTAAAATTCAAAATATAGAAAATATTGTAAAGTTTTGAGGATTATCTTAAATTACTTTACAAATATATTTTAATGCGCCTAAACAGACTTTATGTCGATTATCAATCAATGGAATATTTATTTATTCTCTGTATTATTTAAATTTTATTTTATTATTAATTTTTTTGTGAGAAGTAACAAATGTATATTTTTAAGATATATTGTTCTAGCAACAAAGTGACTATCTATATTTATTCTTCTTTTCTGCAGTTTCATCTCACGTTTTGATCTACTCGATACTCTGTTGCTCTTGTGTCTCGTTTTGCAAACATTTTTTGACCTCTGTTACTTGCTTTTTTGCCTTTTTTTTAAACGTTGGTGTTTTCTTTTTTTGCACATTATTCAGCTTCTTGGTCAATGTGGCTTGAATTGATTACATCTTATATTTCAATCTACTATAAATAGAAATAGTTTTTCAAGCACTTGAAAGTGATAAGAATTACAGACGGATTATATATTCAGTACTCTGTAAAATCTTGAAGCAAATTGAACGAAATAGCCAACGTCGATGTTGGAAGGACCTTATCGATGAATCCGAAATGAACCCATGGCTTTAAAGATTGTCTCCAAGAAATTGGTGTGAAGTCAAAAAAACTGGTTTAGATGTTTCGATTCTGGTCAAGAAAATTATAAGGACGTTATTCCTTTATGTGGAATTGAGCCTTAGAGGACTGTACTCACTGTAGTATAAAGGGAGGAATTCCTTATGCTTGAAGAGCTAAAAAAGGCGGCGAAAACATTGAAAAATTGTAAAGCACCAGGCAATAACGGAACACCCATCAGCGAGATCTTGAAAGATGTAACCGCTTCCTCTCGATGTCTTTAATACATGCTTAAAGACTGAAGCGTTCTCTAGTGACTGGAGGACGCAGAATTTGGTTGTTCTTGAGAAAAGAGATAAACCTCTAGATAAGGTCACATCATTTAGACCAATATGCTTATTGGATACGATGGGTAAATTCTCTGTAAAAAATGTTGGATAGCATGATCCGAGAAAACAGGTTGGAACTTGATAGGATGAATCTGTTATTTTGATTATAACAGATTCGACTATTTGGTCGAATCCGTTTTCAATGGAAGGTCTAATTCGTTCGATTGGCCACCACTGATGAATTGAAGAGATACAGTTTCTCTAATCGAAATAAAAGTATCTCTTTGAACGTCTTTAAGGTGCAATTTATTTTAAAGCTGAAATTCTAGCGAAGATTTCTGTGTTTTTAAAAAATTTTTATCTAAATTTTTCTAGATTTTTGAAAATGTTGAAGTCAAGAGACCAAAATCAGAAAATTTGATAATATTTTTTCCATCTTTCTCACTCTACAACTCAGAAAATTATTAACGGAATGGCTTCAAACATGGCTTATTTTATTCAAAATTTAATAAGCTTTCTAACCGTTTTTGAGTTTTTTTTTGTATCTCCTTTTGTTGCAGAAATATGATTGAAAAAGTGATGGCATGTTTTTTCAGAGAGTCACGTGTAATCGGCCTGATACTTCTGGATGGTACTATATATATATATATATATATATATAGAGAGAGAGAGTTACTCGTAGTATCCTAATTAATATGCAAATTAAATTCTATTAAAAGTTTGTAAAATATTTTTTTAAAAAACACCAAGTTTATTTATAACAATTTCCAAATTTAAAAGCATTAATATTCTACTTATTTATATAATTATATGACCCTTTTTTTAAAATGTTTCTCTACATTTAATTAGTTAATTAATTAATTAATTATTATATTCATTATCATCCACATACAAATATACATCGAAGGATGGGGATGTGAGTTGTCTAAATGCCGACATATATATACACCAAGTATAAATACTAATATTTCAGATAATACGATGTAATGAAAAAAAGGTAGTAAACTACCCTCTTTAAATTCCATGAAAGACCTAATCATGGTTGTATTCTCGAAAGTCGAATAAAATAAACCAAAGAAAAATTACAGGTATCAACTTCGATAAAGAGATCTTGATTGTGTCGCTAAAAAGAATCTCTTTTTTTTCTGAATAGAAAACATGAACCAAAGTCGTAATGAGAGAATAAACTTATTTACCTTTGGCACACACAAGCACGTCAAAGGTCACGAAATTACTTACTCTCTAGTCGCGCAATTTTCTCTTTTATATCTAACCATAAACTTCAGAATTTGTGGAAATAACTTATCCCTTCGGTTAGAATCTTTGCGAGAAAGAGTGAGAGAGCGCAATAGAGACGAAGAGTTGAAATTGGTGGTATGTGATTTCGGTGCGACTTGGTGAACCAATTATCCCTCGTACTTTCATGATGAAATTCGGCTATTAAAGCTCGTTCACACGTTTCTCTTGGAATGAGCTACGTTAATGACAACGGATTGTAGACCTTCTTGTGACGAGGGGTAAGAGAGATGGCAACCACGTATATCGCCTTCAAAGATCACGAGACGGATGGAAACAGCTCAAGCAGGTTCACTAAAAGCGACTACAACTAGAAGATGTTAGATGTGAAACTTCAGGAAATGTTGACATGACTTAAACTGAATTCTCTGCTCTGCAAAATTGTGAAAAATCTTTCGACTAACATCTTTAGTAAAAATTGACACTAAAGATGTTAAAGTTTTTCAATAAAATTTCTTATTGACTTTTACATCATTTAATCTTTATTGAAATTTATTAAAATTTTCATTCATGTTTTTCTTCCTAATAAATTAAAATTTTTATTTATTCATATTAATTTAATTATACTAGTCGATATGTCATTTTATTAGCAGTAATGAATAAAATAGATGATGAATTTGAAATTTTGTTTTTTAATTAAATTTGTGAATCATAAAGATTTGTAAATCCAATTATATTTAATTAATAAATTAAATTATAAATTTTCGTTTGAAGTATTATTTTGTTTGTTAAATAATTAATTTGATAAACAGCGTAATAAATTTTTGTAATTTTTTATTGTTATTCATTGCGGAAAATTATTTACATTTAGCACATTTGTACTTTTATAAATTTTACAGTATTATTGATTTATGTGGTGAAATTTAATTATTAAATTATAATTTTCTAGTTGAAGTAACATAGCAAGATTAACACGAATTAAATGAATATAATAATATAATGTACTGAGAGCCGCTCATTGTAAATATTTTCGGATTGCGAAATTCAGCAAATTTTAGAATTTAAAAATAATAATTTTTATATTATATTCATTTCATATTAAAATTTTAGAAAAAGATTATAAAGACTATTAGGAATATAATAATGTAGTAAAAGCCGATATTGTACAAATTTTCAATATAGAAATTTTAGGAAATTTTAGAATCTACTATAAATCGTAAATCTTTATATTCATTCATTGTTTCTGTTTGTTTAAACTTATTTGTTATCTAAGATAAAATAGTCAAAAATTTTAATATAAAATAATCATAAATTATCTAAAAATTATAAATTAATAAATATTAAAAATAAAATCACACAAAGAAATAAAATTAAAACTAGATAAATTGAATTCCTTAAAATAATAGAAAGAGAGAGAAGATATCTATAGATAACACAATGAAAATATAAACAGAAAAAATAATAGAAAGAGAAGGTAAATATAAATACGAATTAAGAGAATTATTAATTTAATTTAAATATTTCTTTTATGAATAAAGAATATTTATAGATTATTATTTAAAGAATAAATTTATTTTATATTTTTTCTTTAAAATATTTAGAAAATAAAATAATACAAATTATTTTAAAAATTGTTGAAATTAATAATAATTAAATAAAATTATATGTTAATTTAAAGTAAAAATTATTTAAAAATTAATGGTAAAAGTTAAATAATTTTAAAATTATTAATTTTTGAGAAATTAAAGATT